GACCGTGCTCACCAGCATCCTGTTTGGACATGGCACATAGAGAGAGAGAGATCTGTGGAAGACCATGTTCCCCAACATCTTGTTTAGATATGGTACATAGAGAGATCTGTGGAAGACCATGTTCACCAACATCTTGTTTGGATATGGTACATCGAGAGATAGAGATCTGTGGAAGACCATGTTCCCCAACTCCTGTTTGGATATGGTTCATAGAGAGATAGAGATCTGTGGAAGATCATTTTCACCAACATCTTGTTTGGATATGGTACATAGAGAGATTTGTGGAAGACCATGTTCACCAACATCTTGTTTGGATATGGTACATAGAGAGATAAAGATCTGTGGAAGATCATGTTCACCAACATCCTGTTTGGATATGGTACATAGAGAGAGAGGGAGTTTTTACCCTTTCTTTTCTAAAAAAAATTATTTGTTTGTTTTAAATTAAGCACAAAGCTACACTATGGGCTATCTATACTTTGCCCACCACGGGTATCGAAACCCGATTATAAGGCCGGAGACATACCGCTGTGCCACGGGGGGGGGGGGGAGGATAAGCTGCTCTTCAAATAAAGTTCTGGAAGAGCCATACGTTCACGTGTTCTCTTGTCGAGCATGTAATACAAGTCATATAAGATTAATTTTTCGAAAAATATTTTACAATTTGTTTGGCACCACTTTAAATAGGTTGAGGTAAGAGGGCAGAGGTAATAATGGTTGAGTAAGGTTAGTTGGATTTGTGAAATGGTTACAATTATTGCTAGGAATCTTAGGAGGGACCATAAAATAAATAAGTAGTGTACCTTATTAAAATGTTAAAGGTTATGGAAATAAACTGAGTTTCTATAATAAAAGTATAATTGAGGTAGAGTTTTAATCTAAACAACATTATTGGTAAAGGAATAGAAAGAAGTGAAAGTTTATTGTATTAGCTTAAAATAATATATTGGTTGAATATATTTTAATGTATTTCATTTATAAAAGGGGTTGTATATAATGTGTGCATAGTTTGGAAAAATATGTATTTAATTCAGGCTATTTGTTTTTAGTTGAAAAATTGTATCTGAAAGTTTTGTGTAAATTCTCTGCAAAATTTCCTCCTGGGGAGAGTGACCTTTGAACACACGAAACCGGTTGAATGTAAATAAAGTCATGTCACATAAAAGCTCAAGTATTGTGGTGTTTTAATATTTGCATCCACAGGTGGAAAATTGTAGGTGTTTTGGTTATACATTTTTTATGTAAATTATGTTAGGTTATTTTATGTACATAAGAGTCGGGACATTGTATACATAAATATAGAGGAGTCAGTATATTAAGGTGTTTTGGTTATACATTTCTTATGTAAATTATGTTAGGTTATTTTATGTACATAAGAGTCGGGACATTGTATACATAAATATAGAGGAGTCAGTATATTTATGTTTGCCATTAATAAATGTGAACTTAAAAACAAAATACAAGAATTTCGCGAAATTAAGCTCTAGTGGTCTGGTGGTTAGGGTACTCGATTCGCAATCTGCGGGTTCGATTTCCCGTCACCGAATAAGCTCGCCCTTTCAGCCGTGGAGGCGTTATAATATGATTGGACTCACTATTCCTTAGTAAAAGAGTAGTCCAAGAGCTGGCGGTGGGTGGTCTTGACTATTTACCTTTTTTCTAGTCTAACACTGTATAGCTGCTAAATTAGGGATGGGTAGCGCAGATAGCCCTCGAGCAGCTTTACGCGAAATTCAAAACAAACTAAGCTGCTTTATAAATAAAAAATGCAGTTGCCTGGAGGTATTCTGTTTACGGATATCTTACCAACTTACCAAATACTCATCCAGTTTACAAACACGCTGCTCAACGCTGTATCGCTTCTGAACTTTGGTGGCGTTTATTCCATGGGCAACGTGCAGAGCGTTGACGTCGAAAGTGCCGGCAAAATGGTGTCTATGACGACCTTCATTCTCGTGCACTCTGGCGTAACTTAAAACAGATTTTATGCCGATGGCATCAGAGTCGATGGTCCCTTTTCCTGAGCCTCTGATCTGGTCGTTAACAATGTTATTTTGTTTAGGTGCTTTAAGAGCACTTTTTATTCCCACCGACGTTCCATCCAAATGTCCAGGGCCAGTCCTCGGCACGTGGCTATTACAATATACTTCCTTATCGTCTTGATTCTGTTGGTTGTTGTAGTAGGTCCTGAGGGTCAGCTTAGTCCCGCACACGGAGCATTTGAAACAGTTCTGGTGAAAAAAAGTTAAGTCTTTAAGCGGTCCAATCTTGTCCACTTGATACACCGTCGAGTTACACCTCAGGCAGACGCTCTCCCTACTTCCTGAACAATATCTGTGGGCCATTTCTATGTGTACAGAACTGTAGACTCAAATTCAATTAACGTCTTCGAACTTCTACTTCAAAGTATCGAAGTTCATGAAACGTGGCCTGTTTGTGACCTTGAAGACAAGTTCCAGGTAAAATAGTTCGCGATATAAAATGTCGTACCTTTTATAATCAACCTAACACGAGCAGTACCTTAAGGCTTAGCTGCGATAACCGGTTGTGCTAAAGCTGTACACGTCTCTGACTAGACGTAGCATGTGGGGGACGGAACATCAACAGGTACATAAGAAGGTCGGGCTCTGCTCGCCTGGTGAAAGTTACTGGTGCGTGGAGATGGACGACTCCTACCTGAAGCTACATCCTACCCGTTTGTACAACACTAACCCTCGTTTGGCTCATTTTCCTAACGCAGGTGAATCAAGTTTCTGTATTGCTTCTGATAGAATTTTTCTTGCTCTGCTGTCTGCTGAACTTTCAATTCTCCACCTACGTTCGTGAATGAACAGTGACAAAACTTAGATAAACCTAGATAGTTTTATTTCTAAATACGATCTCGTTGTTCATTCCTACATGTATAAGAATATACAAACGTACCGCAATTCACAAATTAAGCTTTTCCCAGTTTAGCATTTAACTAACCTAGCTGCTTTGTAAAGCAAAGTACGAGTCTAAGTTAACAATGGATTAGGTTCCTTAGAAATAATTACAGAATAATACTAAACGTAATTATATACCACACGAAAATAGTTTTTTTTTTACTGGGCGTGAGCTAGTAACTAGTGTGTCCGGATAGGGAATCCAAAGATTCATGATTGGCGACCTGTTGCCGCAAAATCGCGCTCTGCACTTGTGAGCTTTGGGTTGTATAAGATGGACGGACGAATCCTACTGTTCGGTCAAACGGGAGTAGCCCAAGAGTTGGTGGTGGGTGCTGTTGAGTAGATGTCATCTCTCTAGCCTATCAGTTCACAATTAGAGACGGCTATGCACATATAGCCCTTTGTGTAGCTTTGCAAGACAAATTCTGAAACAAGCAAATATGATACGTCTAGTTTTCCTACTCTCGCATTGACTTTCTCAATAAATAGGCGAACACAAAGTTTAAAAGCAAAGCAAATGTTTCAAATTTAGCAAGTGGGTCCTAATTTTAGCGTCTTCGAAACAATTACTGTTTGAAACGAAAGAAATATAAAATTTTAGTGTTAACATTATTGCTAGTTTCTGAGCCAAAATTACATAAAGAAGCTCTGATGCGGTAACTTGGTATTGAATGACGTACATCATCAAACTACCAATCGATGGTGGGGTAACTTGGTATTGAATGACTTACATCATCAAACTACCAATCGATGGTGGGGTAACTTGGTATTGAATGACGTACATCATCAAACTACCAATCGATGGTGGGGTAACTTGGTATTGAATGACGTACATCATCAAACTACCAATCGATGGTGGAGTAACTTGGTATTGAATGACGTATGTTCTCAAACTATCAATCATGTTGTTTCTTTGTTTTGAATTTCGCGCAAAGCTACACGAGGGCCATCTTTGCTAGCAGTCCCTAATTTAGCAGTGTAAGACTAGAGGGAAGGTAGCTAGTCATCACCACTCACCGCCAACTCTTGGGCTACTCTTTTACCAACGGATAGGGGGATTGACCGCCACATTATAACGCCCCCCACGGCTGAAAGGGCGAGCAAAATCGATGTACGTCTTACTGGTCAAGGATAAGTCTAATACATTATATCAGTAACGTCTTCACACTGAGTTTCAAGTAACGTTGCTCAGGTTATTCATTTAGTATTTTAAATGATATTTTCGTGTGCTCTTCACAAAAGTTGAAATATAGCTAAAATGTTTTATTTTTTCAGTTAATATATATATTTTTTCTATGGGCTTAACCATCAGATTACTAGCTTGTATTTATACCGTTCACTATCGGCGGGTATCTATACATTGCATCATATTAAATACTTACATGTTTTTTAGCCGAAGCATAGCGGCTCATATTATTAGGTAATATCATTTAATGTATCATGTAAAATAGGGGACCAAAGCAGTAATTAGTGGGGCTAGTTGCAGAATTGGTTGTGTTTTTAAATTGCAGAGACAGCTGATATGTAATTAGAGACCCTTAAATCAACAAAGTTCTGGATCCACAAGGCAATTTGGTACATAGATAGTTTAGAACGTGGGATCCATGGTCTTCATTATAGGGTTAAAAAATATCTTTAGTTCTTACACTTATCACACTGGAAGAATATGCCCATACTTTAAGGCCACTTACAAACACAGTGTCTTAGTATATATATTCCAACTTGGGAAACATTCATTTATAAACTTTCACATTATTTCTATATGACACTCGCGTTTTCCCAATACGTTACTTAAAGCATATATTTTTGAAACCATGATTTACCATTGTGATAGCTAGAGACTCATACAGGCGCAGTGGTTCTAAAACTTTTTCGTCTGCGGACCGTTTCGGCGTGGAAAAAGACCCCTCGAACCACCTACCGTTCCTACCCCACCTGTTTTCACTTTTCACAGCAACAAAAACTCATCAGAATAAATGGGAAAGATGGCGCTGCTTGTGCATTTTGTACCAGCCCGCAACCACGTTTTGAGAATCGTTGATATGGGGTTGGTTACAAAACATCAAATGCATCTTGTCACTCTCAAAGAAGCAAAGACGTTCTTAAATTTATTTTTGAATCTGCAGATTGGTTGTAATTAAGCACAAAGCTACACAATAGGTTATCTGTGCTCTGCTCACCACGGGTATCGAAACCCGGTTTCTAGCGTTGTAAGTCCGCAGACATACCGCTGTGCCAAGTGGGGGGGGGGCGGTTTTGAATCTGATTGTAAATGAAGATGAAACATAAGTGAAAATGGAGAATGAAGACGAAACAGCAGTAAAAACGGACGCTAAGTGTTAAACTGATTTACGTTAAGTTCTTCAGTGATATAATATAGATATTGATGTAAAGCTAAACTTTGACTATTATGTTGTATATAAATTAATGACCTTACATAAATAGCTGGAAGCTAACTGTTCACGTCGAAAGCCCTGTAAGAAACACAATGAATATAAAAATATACGATGAGCATTGCATCTGTATGTCTCATTGTACAGTAAGCAGCGTTATAAGTCCGCAGACATACCGCTGTACCACTGGGGGTAGAGTAATAGTAAAAAGTCGTTGTGTAATTGGTTGTTTTCTGTTTATAATATGCTTTTATTTTACACGTGCTTATTTTTGTCTCTATTTTAAATTTCTTTTCGGAAATGGGGGAGCGTTATAAAATTCACAGTTAATCCCGTTATTTGGCTTAAAGAAATAAATCTCTTGTAGCGGCAGGTGCTGAAGACTGATTACCCTCCCTATTTTTAGCAGCGGCATAGCGGCTCATAGAGTGGCTCTGAGTTTTTGAAGTACAGACTTTTAGCTTATAGCTCCGTCATTTCTTGACCGATTTGAGATCTAATTACAGTTTTGGACTCCGGTGGTTAAACTCTTTCGATTGATGTATTTGACCACGCCCAAAGTCTCGGAGATTAATTTACTCTAATATATCGCTCCGGGGAATTCCACCCTCCATCAGTAACCCAGGACAAGAGCAAATCCTAGAAACAAGACTAGTGGAGGAATGTATATTATATGTTTGGTATTTTTACTAGAATTAAGTATTATTCTATGAGTTTAAAATCTTCTTAGATTTTTAGAATAATTTCTGATTTGTTTTAATACCCAATCATCGTACAAAGAATTATGAATTGCCAAAGAATGTTTTCAACACATTGTGGTATTTCAGATCGTTTTATGGGACGTCTCAAATGATTCGTGATGAGTGAAACTGTTCAGTTATCTGTATCTGTTTCCAACCTATTAACACTAAACTCACCTACAGACTGTGGACCACGTCGTTTTTCAAACACATTTTACTTAATTATGTATGCATCAATCCACTTGTGGATCCTGGCCCGGCATGGCCAGGTGGTTAGGGAGCTCGACTC